AGGTTCACCGCAGTTAGCCGATGATCGGCAGGTCGTGAGTGGTGGGATAAAGTGTGGGTACTCCCATCGATTCCAAGACGTCTGGCCAGCGTGGCTGAGGAGACCAACGAAGCTCTTGGAAGGGTTATCTTTCTTCAGTAAAGGTCCTTCCATCAGCAGTGGTGTGGGGGACATTAATTGCACGGCTGTACCTTGCACACCGAGATCCAGCTATGGAAAGTGTGAATGTCTGCCCTCTGCAATGCAACTCGCTGTGTAGCATGGGTCAGGTTGCTTGTGGATTTATCAGAAATAAACGCAAGGGCATGTGGCCTTGCCACGTTAAGCTGCATTAAGACTGAGCAAAACCTGGCCAGGATGACAGATTGCAAAGCACCCTGAGGGGACACAGCTGCACTTCATGCCACTGCATTTGTACACTTTATGTAGAAAGCTAAGATAACTTAATTAAGCTGCTTCATTATTTTACACAGGAAAGCCTCATTAATGAGTTTCAAGACCTTGTCAGCAGCATGGTGCAGCAATGGGATTATGATCAACACCGTTAACGAGTGTTTGGCTTTCGCGTAGGAGGAAAATGTACTTCACAAGTACCCCGGGGGCAACCCACAATACGCACTTCAACACCGCCAACTCCTAACCACCTTGTAGCCCCATACCTACAACAACAAGGGCACCACGGTGGTGAGATGTTAACTACCTCGCCTGGTATATAGGAGCTCGGGGGTTCAATCCCGACCCTGACGCCTGCTGTATATTTGCGAGTTTGTGCGTCTCTCTCCCTGTGCCCGCGTTGATTTGTCTCTGGGTCCTCCAGTTTTCCTCGTCGACATTTAGAATCATGAGTTTAGAGTATTTGGCTGCTATACATTTCCGTATGATAAGCCACTTTGTTGAGCTATCATTTGTGGCTAGGTCGCTTCTGAAAAAGAGCTATAAAGCTCAGTGGGTCTTACCTACTAAAAAAATAAATAATTTGTAGTTGTAATAGTAACTGGCAAAAAAACTGGAATCTTCTCATTCAAGCATCAAGCGGGCTGGACCCTGCTTAACATTTAAACTTCAACAATATCTGGCACATCCAGGGCAATCTGGCTATAGGCAATCACACTACCCTGGCGACAATTCAGTTCCTGAAGAAGCTTCCAACACCTGGATCGAAACTTCAGATGTGACATCCGGTAACAATCCGAAATCATGTCCTACAATAAAACATTTATTTAAAAATGCTTTCTCGTCATGACAATGGTTTCGTCAGCTGTGAATTTATACAAGTATATTAAAAAAAACTACTTAAATATATAAACAACATTTTAAGCTGGTTTTGGAATCTGATAATTTACTCGAGTGGAAGTCACAGGCTTGGAGGAGCGCCAGTGATTATACGGAGAATCTTTTTGTTTCCGAACATCCATTCACGCTGACCCCCCTGGCTGCACCCAACTCCACCCGCCGCAGGAAACCGCCGAGCCGTGCCAGCGGACCCTGACGGGAGCATTCGTATTCACAAATCCCACCGTTTTTTGTAATTGCCGAATTATTTTTCTCCCTCCGCTCTACTTCTTCTTCATGGGACCTCCTTTGCCAGTACCAAAATATACTAATAAGGTTTTTCCCCTTTTTTCTGGCAACAAAACTGACACCTTTTGCAAGGAATCACGCTTACATTAACCACAATACTTGCAGTCAAATGCAAACAAAAAACACCCCGAGCTCTCATTACTCTGGTAGTTGCGTTGTCTTTGAACTGTGCGCCTTTTGGCGTCATCTGGTCGAACACCATATGAGACTAGGCTCTAAAGAAAGCTGTCTCTGGTGTGGACCAATCAGTTTCAAAGACGATGCATAAATTATCAGAGTATTGTTTTTAGTTTGCATTTGACTGCAAGTATTGTGGTTAATGTTAAGCATGATTCCTTGCAAAAGGTGTCAGTTTTGTTTCCAGAAAAAAGCAAAAAACCCCCTATTAGTCTACTTCTTCTTCTTTCATATTGCATTTTTTGGGGGGATTGCAACAGATTACCAATTGATGTCGAGATTTCATATCCCCATCCGATTGCTTCGGGAGTAGCCGCGTGGATTTGTTTCTGGTCGCCGTCGAACGCTCCGAGTGGGCACTTGTTCACGGTGTCGCACGGTCTGAGATATCGCACCACAGTCACAAACTGGACTCTCTTCTTCTTGGTTCTTTCGGTAAAGTCACGTAGAAGGGAAATAATAAAATAATAAAAATAAAACATTATAAAATAATTCTCACGACGTTTCGGCCACAATGCAAGCAGCCGTCCTCAGGTGAAGAACAGGTCTGTCGGAAAGACAGCGTTCTTGAGGACGGCTGCTTGCGTTGTGGCCGAAACGTCGTGAGAATTATTTTATTATGTTTTATTTTTATTATTTTATTATTTCCCTTCTACGTGACTTTACCGAAAGAACCAAGAAGATGAATCCCTGCAGTCACGAAAGCTTTAAATCGAAATTTAAACTGGACTCTCGTTAATTTTCCATTCATGGAGAAAGTGTCCACATCTTCCATGGAGTGTCCGGATTTTCTACGATGACTTGGTCGCTGTACACACGTGTACCCCCCTTGTGTTTGTGCAAGCACTGTACATGCCAGTCGTGTATATTCCTACGTGCAATCTCTAAATGTATAAACGTAAACTTCAGTTTTTATCAAGTGCAAACATACAAGAGTATCTCGCAATGATACAAAGGAAAGTTAACATCGAAGCACGTTAAGATTAGGGCAACATGGTAGAGCAGTCGTAACACTTGTGCCTCATGGTAAGTAGTTCCTGGGTTCGATTCCTGATTTGAGTGCCTCCGTGTGGAGTTAAACTCCTGGACATCTGTGAAAAAGAGCTGTGTAGCTCATCAGATTCCTCTAGTATAAATACATATTCTGATTCTGTATGTACTTCCCTGTTAGGCATGGGTTTCCACCAGGTTCTCTGGTGTCCTCCAATAGTAAAAAAAACAATCGAATGTACTTGGTATTGCCAAAAAAAACAACGGTGAATATGTACCTGAAAATTACTCAATTGAGATGACACGTAGCAACATTGCTCCCTCGCACACCGAGACTTTCATGGGTAAACAAATGTAATAATAATGTAATAATAAACGAATCATCATTCATCCACTGCTGGATGAAGAACCTCCAGCTATACATCATAATCATGTCATGTCATAAAATGTTGATCTTGGTCTGCATTCAATAATTGGCCTGGGTATAAACTGTTGTGTGTTTTCAGCTGTTGCACAATGCTTTTTTTACCCATTTATCCTTAGCCATTCTGCCTTCTTTGTCTAGTTCTTAAATCATTGTCTGCAGTTCATTACTGTTGGTTGTTATAATGACTGGGAGAGAATATCACCAGGAATTAAATTAACAGAACGCAGCACACGAATTATTGAAGGTGTCAAAGCAAGCAATTGGAGCGTAAAGGCAGAAGAAATAAAGGTGATGAACGGTTATCTGCAAATAGTATCCCTTAAGGAACCAGATAAAACCGTAACGCATGACAGAAACAGACTAATAAAATGAGCAAAATCAAGCCATGTGGTCTTTATAGCCAAAAAAGTCATATATCCCAAAAAACAAATCATTTTACAGAATGGGAGGATGAAAGAGGAAAAACTTCCAGACCGGTAAGAATTGCTGTGGCCATCGTTAGAGGCAGGACCATCAATCAAAACTACTCAACCTATTTCCTAAATATTCCACATCAATCGTAGAATGTCTCAATACTCATTCATTAAAAAAGCAAGGCAACATCAGTGGAAATGGATGCAATCATTCAAGCTTTTACAAACCAGGGCCTGAATAAAATGTTCAAAACCATTTATAATACGTGGAATAGCTACACTCAGGATTTAATAACACAACTAATAATATAAATACAGGCCGTTGTCAATTAACTGCTGAATAAAAACCTCTTCAAGCCTCCCCATTGCTCTCAGTCATAAAGATTGTTTGACCATACTTCACCACACTGGCCAGTGTGGCTTTATGAAGTGGGGGGGGGTCCAGAAACCGTTCAGATATACTCGCCACTGATGTTTAGGTTCAGGTTTTATTTGGCACAGGTAAAACCCATTGGACAATAAATAATGATTTTCAATGGGGACCTGGTTACTTCCTAAAAACTAGGTTACAGTAAAACAAGTGACATGAACAAAACAATCCAAAAACAACTGTACACATTCGCCGCAAAGTTCATTACACAGTACATGTACGTATGCAAAAAAAAAAGCACGAGTTAATAGAAATTATAATACTCTCCGGTATATTTAAGCAAAGTTGTTCAGGGTACAGCCGTGCCATTTCTTGCTTTGCCATTATGTCACTGGTGGTGAAAGGGCCTCCACTAAAAATGAGCCTTAGAGAGCACCCCTCTCGAGGGTTTTTTTGACCCAATTCTGCCACGCTGGCCAGATATGAGAGTGTCTACGAGTTTACACCATCACATTCAACGTGTAGATCGACCGTGGCCGTACCCGTTATTAGACTGCCGAGTGGACAGAGGCGAGTGCAATGAAGAAGTTTGGCCGGCGTACCAAGTGCCGAGCCGGGAGATCAAATAAAACTCAAGACCTCTAGATTGCGAGTTCAATGCGGCAGCATTCAACATTTATTGTTCTGTTTTATGCTTAGATGCATTGTTCTGCTTTTATGCTTAGATGCATGAATACATCTGCTGTTTAATTTAGTTTATTTATCGTTCTGTTATGCTTAGTTGAACATGTATTGGCTTCAGTTGAGTGTATATAACCTACTTTCTGCTTTCCTTTCAAGGATTATAAATATACTACACATCGTGTTATTGTGAATTGCAGGGGCTTATTTAAGCTTTTCACCAGATCCTGCCCAGCCTGGCTTTTACTTATTATTGAACGTTAAAAAGAATATTATACTGTTGTATATATTTCGCTCGTGATACAGGATGTCCCAAAACATTAGGCAATGTCTGTAAAACCACCAACGCAGAGATCCCTACCTCCGGCTGGATGGACTTGAACACTGGAGCATCCATGAGTGTTATCTGGCTCTGGAAAAAAAATAAACAAATGAATATTAAATAGGAGAAAGAGAAAAAAAAATCACCAAACATTTTGATGTACATTTATAAATGATTCACATGCATTTTTGTTTCGTTTGTTTTACATATATTGATGTCCACATAATCATGATTTCACACACAGTAGTATATTGTATTCATTCGTGTATTTACTGATGCATTATTTAGCAGATGTGTTCATTTAGTACATTTATATGTTAATATATGTATTCAATGCTTTATTATTGAGTTACTCATATTATTGTTCATTTACAATGGGCCAATATCTACAGTCAGATTTTACTTAGTAATCACTTTCATTTACGAAATGTTTGCGACTTCAAAGTCATTTGCTTATCGGTACGGTACACATATACTGTGCAATATTAGGAATAAAGGTGCAGCCCTGAAATTTCTTGCTTATGCCACTGCTGGCAGCAGGACCCCTCTGGAGGGAGTCCCAGAGTCCCACTATTTCATAAATTGCACAGCTCAGCTACACCTGTGTGTAAAAAAAATCCCGTTGGCTATAACTTTTCACATTTCCGTGATGCTTATATTGTTCCATTCGCTCGATCGTGTTTCACTTCACCTCGCCGTCATCTCCTCTCCAAGCATTCATTTCCTCGTCCGTGTTAACGTGCAATACGCCTGTTTATTCTGTTTATATTGCAATTTTTGTTCTTTAACCACTGTGTTTGCCTGCACCTCTAGCGCTTTCTGTTCCGTTGTTCCCTGTTCCTCCGTACGGATCAATTTGATGTTATTGTCATTCTGTGCTGGTGCACCACAGATCTCTTGAAAACTAGTCGTATAACTAGCTAAAAATGGGACTTTCCGTGGAACAAATAAACATTGATTGATCGATCAATAGATCGATCTCATAAGAGGTGGGAGTACCCACACTCTACCAAAAATCAACACCACGACCTGCCAATCGACTAAGTGCAGTGTACCCATTCACACTGCTGGGTGGAGAGATCTAAAAAAAAAAGTTTCCATTTCAACTTACGTGCAAAAAGATCAGATCAGACCATTAACCTCTAGGATTGGAAGTCCAGTGTGCTTCACCATTACATCATGACAGCATCCCTTGTCGGCAAAATATTTATTTAAAAAAAAAAGCAGTTGGTGTGTATTGTAACAAAAACAGCTCGTCGTTCAAAAGCACCATCATATTTGCTGTTGTAACTTTGTGACCCGCCCGTATTGGACATCTATGATGGGATCTCTCCGAGCTAAATTAAGATTCTGATTGTGATGTGTGGGATATTCTCCCGATGCGCGTCACATTTCGGCGTGCGTCCATAGCACCATGTGTCACATGTAGAACACGTAAGAGGAAAATACGATTCGTGATATTTTTCATTTCCCAGGCGCAATAAGCAGCCAGCTGCACAACGTTGGATTGTGTCGGTGAAGCGGCGCACGGAAGTCTGCTTGGCTCGCACAGACGTGCTGTGTTTCACATCAACTGTGGCACGTGGGTGGGGGGTGAGGTGGGGTGAGGAGGCGGGGAGGAGGAGGGGGAGGAGGGGAGGCCTCAATTTGCAGGGCTGTGGTCTTCTCATCAACAAGATCGCACGTCGGCGCTTCCGCGGATCGACGGAACCGCGTGCAAGACGCGTGCGCGGCGGCGACGGCGACCTCCAAATAACCCGTCCAGTTGTATTTGCTACGCGTGCTCGTGGATGCGTTTGGGCTTACGGCGAGCTCTTCGGGGGCCACTTTGAGCACGTCAAAGAGAACGGCGTCGTAGCTCTTCCTCTTGGGATCGACGGCCCACCTCCCGTCGGTGGAGTCCGACCCGCTGCTCTCCTGCTGGTGTCGTGAAGGACAGGGTTCAGCCGTTAACTGTTTTTGCTCGACGATCGGAAGTTGCGAATCGTAAAAAGCGGCACGAGCAGGGGAGCCGGACGTCAAGATTGAAAGGCGATTTTAAGGACTAGCCCCTCTGGGTGTGTTTTCGGGGTGGTTACCGCTTGCTGTCCAGTATCCCCGAGGGAACCAGATGAAACCAAAACGCATGACAGGAATAACCTAATAAACAAGACAGAAATCAAGCCACGTGATCTTTATAGCCAAAAAAAACTCATGTATCCCAGAAAACAAATCATTTTTCAGGATGGGAGGATGAAAGAGAAAAAGCCTCCAGACCGGTAAGAATTGGTGTGTGCATCATTAAATTGACAGGACCATCGATCAATATTACTCCTAGAATAATGCCTCAACCCTCATTCAATTCATAAAGAGCAAGAGAACACCAGTGGAAACTGATGCAATCATTCAGGGGATTTTAGGAAAAAAGTCCTCTGGTGTGTTTTTGGGATATAACATATGTTATCCAGTATCATCTCTGACGGTTAGCCCCACCAGCTAGGAGTTTCTTCAGGAACTGAATTGATTTGGTAAATGGCATGAACAGGTAGTGCAACTGGAAAACACACCGGCGCACCACAGAACACAACACGGGAACTCTACGCAGCCGTAACGTTTATGAATCTCTTATTAAGATTTTACTCAGAGGTCGTCCATCCCATTGGCAACAATCAGTGAATTACATCTCAATTTTATAGCTGATGAAAAAAAATAAGATTCATTTCGTATTGGTAGGCATTAAAAAAATAATTGAGCAAACTATAAATTGTGTCAAAAAACATAAATTAACAATTACCCAGCTTCGAATTAAAGCTCTCGTGACTGCAGGGATTCATATTCTTGGTTCTTTCGGTAAAGTCACGTAGAAGGGAAATAATAAAATAATACGTGACTTTACCGAAAGAACCAAGAATATAAATACCCAGCTATTCAATCCATCATAATTAAAAAACTTGGTAAAAATAATTAAAATGGATCAAATTTTTTTAAGGCATCTACGTAACTATAAAACAAAATCTGAAAAGTACACAAAGATGCGTCGATAAATTCATGTTGGTAATTGCACTAAAGAGACAGATAGAGAGAGAAACACATGCATCAGGCAACATACGGGATTCAGAGACGTCATATCGGCTGTTCAAGTGAGTGCGCTTGGGTGGCATACATCTCTATAGCAAAGGGTACACGGTATCCTGTGGTCCAGATCGACGACAAAGTGCCCAAAGTCGGGAATACTGGGGGGACGACATCTGTGGAGATGGAGCGATGAGATCGGCTCGCATGCAGGGGCTAGATGCAACGCAGAACCGCAAGTCAATGAGGGAAGGAGTCGGCATGAGGCGGCCTTCATCCAGCGGTGGATACATCACGGATCACGGCGATGATCACAAAGGTGATGATTGAAGTCTTTACAATTTAATTTCAACACAAAGTTAACGTGAAAACTCGGAACAATATTACAGGTATGAGGTAGCATTTTATAAGTAGGTTGCGAATTTTGAAATAACGTTTATAAGTTTTGAATTTCATTTAACGAACATGGAAAATAACCGAGAGTTGAAAGGTTTAAAAAGGTTCATTTTGTACCTTACAAAAGGTCTATTGAATGTTACAGTTTCCTTTATTTCAAGAACCAATCGCTTTCCTGCTACCGTACACATACAATATCAATAAAGCACAGTGTTTTAAACCAACACTGACAGCATTTCATGTGTGCTAGCATAGAATTCGAGCACATGGGAGTTTATTCAAAATCACGTCGGTTGTTTTTATTGCTTTATTAAAAAGAACCAGCAGAGTTTGAAGGCTTCTGTTGAAATGTACATAAAGCTTTCTTTTCAAATGCCATGACGACATTTTTTTTAAATTTCAAAGCATACATTGAACTTAAGCAGAATTCACTTTAAAATAATTTTGGAAAAAAATCTTTAGGAAAGCAGATACTACTTATGTTAAAGTGGTTTGCTGAAGTAACTTCCATACAACCGTGATGTAAAATGGAAATAATCTAATTTAAGGCCAGCGCATTAAATAATAATTATCATTAAATCATTACCACTGAGACCATTCGTTGCAACTGCTTTGTATTAAAGCATCCCAGAGAAAATAATTTGACACTAAAGTAACCAAATTAAGAAACAACTTAAATCATCGACAGATTTAAAAATTTAAATCCCTGTCATAAAAACACACACGTGCAAAGCATGTTCAAGTGTAAAGTGCAACTTGTGCTCGTGTTAGCCCATATTTCATTTATTACAGTATCCGTTTATACTTACCGTGTTAAACAAAACGACAAACTACGTTTGTTTAACAGGACAGTAAAGTGCGGGAATAGACATATGCAAGGAATCTGCTCAAGAAAACCTCTAGGCTCACAGCTCTAAATATGACTTTATGTTTCACAGATGTAACCCAAAACAAATGACACTAATAGCATGCCTTTTTTTGTTTTTTTTTGCAAAGCGTCTGGAGACACATGCAGTTACATCTTGACGCTAGATGAACGTAAACTGTATTGTATTTTTTAACCCAAAAACTAACCCTTACACACACCCCAAAATATTGAACCTTTGCATTACACCAGGCAAAACGAAACATGTGGACATAGCCGATTTCCAACATAACGAGGAGGCCTTTGAAGCAAAAAGGTGCAGAGTAATTAATTTGCTCGTATTTCTACTTGGCGGGAAGATGCGAGCAGCCCTCGCACGCACCGCAGCAGCTATTTAATCCCATCTGTTTCTTTGGCCACTGGCGGGCCTGTTTGGCAGATGACCGCTGCTGATGCAACGTCACAGCAGGTCATGGGGATCCCAGCACTTATTGCTCCTCGAGTGGAGAGAGCTGCGGAGAGTTCCAAACGCACGTGTGCATGGAAAGTGTCCACAGCAAGAGGATACTGGGAGCAATTAAAGAACACACACGTGGCAAGCCTACAGTAAACGTTAAGTTACAGATGTGGGAATAATACATTTTATGAATAAAAAAAAACGCATTTAAACGTAAGTCAATTGTTTTAAGGTTTTGACAATTATTCATGCCAGGCGTGGTGAACCTTTTTCCTTACGTGGTGCAGAATAGACCTTTCAAATCCCTTGGGCAAGGAACCACACATTGACACACACACACCTCAGTCAATCGGAGGTGTGTGCGTGTCTGTGTTAGATGCAGGGGACAGCAGCGAATGAGTGTGCTAACATTAGAAACGCAGTATTGGCAGGTCAAAAAAAAAAAATGTTCCCCTCTAGTACCCGATTGGTGAGACTAATATGCTTGCAGTGACCAATCGAGTACGCCGGCCCTTTTCACGGGTCTTCGAGCACGAGTTGCGTGCGGCCCATTGGAACCGACTGGTTGGCCCAAGCCCTGATTGACGCCCACCGCTCCAGGACTTGGAGAGAGCAGGCAAAAGGGGGCGGGGCAGAGGGAGGCAGCGGAAGAGATCGAATCGTAGGAGTTGGCGGTGACCACTACTGGATGAGAACTTAACTTGGTAAAGGAAGGAAGAGAAGATGAAGAAGAAAAAAACTCAGGAAAGCCTTTGTCCACCAGAGGTAGTTACAGGTGGACAATAACTCGGCCAGGTAAACTGTAGTTTGCCATTTAATATAATTTTGTCATTTGTATTGCTGGGCTGACATCAAGACACCTCAAAACCTTTACTTCCAAAATACCTGCTTTGTCACAAGAACAATTTTCCAGAGCAGAAATTGATATCGCCGAAGGTAGTGAAACTTTAGTTTGTACCGATGTATGTATACGACTGATAAGAATTAATGATTTCATAACCCACTCATTTCAAACAGTTATCACATAATTCGCTGTCATTGGCCACGTAAAGACATTGGAACCACTAAAATATATTCTAGATTTGAAGCTTTCGTGACTGCAAGGATTCATATTCTTAGGTTTTTTTCGGTAAAGTCACGTAGATAAAAAAAATGTAAGTAATAAAAGTAAAATAAAAATAAAATATGATTTTATTTTTATTTTACTTTTATGAATAAAAATAAAAATATGATTGTATTTTTATTTTACTTTTATTAATGAAAATTTTTTTATCTACGTGACTTTACCGAAAAAAACCCTAAGAATACACTAAAATACATGCCACCTTTACACGACGCCAATAGGGGAAATTGCCTGCTCTGGGTTCATCGACTAAACGGGGGTTTGTAGAGGAACGTGGTTTTCAGAAGCCGCCCGAGCACTCGAAGTGCGGCCTCACCTCAGGTGTGGCCGCTGTGAGGGTGAAGTTGGACGCTTGCCCGTTCCCTTCCTCCATGGGGCCAGCGGCGTGCGCCGAAGCCGCTCGCCCGAGTGCCGGGCTCTCCGCCGCACACGTCCTGCAGCGGGAAGACCGTCACGTGCCGCGAACGTCAGATACACGCACCAACGCACGGGCTCGTTCCAAAGGGACTCGAGAATCCACACGCACACACAAAGATAAAAGATCCCCCTATAGCCTTGACAGACTTTCGGCGCAAGTGCTTTTACTTAGCACCTATGAGGCCCGGCACGGAACACGAGAGGGTGGGTGGACAGCACCACGCCCGGCCGTCTTTGTCTCCCCAGTGGCGATGTTTACACACCGCACCAGGTTACTCATTTGATGCCGAGTCGACCTAGGGGAGCCCTAAGACTGGTTCAGATAATTGTCACTGGTTTTTGTGGCCGTAGGCGGAAACTGAACTTGGTCAATGGGTTCGTCGCGCAGCTCACTAACCGTGACACTACCACTCCCAAATCCACACACACACACAATAGTTACACAGACGATATTGCAGTTCCATTTTACAAGAATGTGGTTTGCTGATGGAATAAAAATAATTGACAATGGCAGCACTTCAAATGTAAACTTTGGCACACACAGAAGCTCCGGCAGATTGTACTGTAAGAAGTGGTTGTTTTGATGGCAGCTGCAGCAGAAAAAAAATGCTTAGCAAAGTTGACAGTGGAGGTCCACTTGCTATTTTGTCAGTAGAATGGCCGCGAGTATTTAAATTTGTAAACGTAAAGTACACTGTGCATGCCAATGTGAATCGCTGTTAGTCCGAAAGGTCCTTCTTCATTATTTTGTTAAAATAATATTTACAGCACAAATGGTTGCTTTAGCTTTTTTGTTGGTGCAGAAAAATCGCGCTACGTGTGCATGCAGTATTTATTTGACTTAAGTCATTATACGACTAATTTATGCAATTATGGTCATATTCATGCGATTGCCAAGTTTATTCTTTGAAGTAAATACAATCTAACAAGAACAAACTCAAACCATAATTAACAAACACAATTATGCAGATAATAACTATGGAAATAGGAATTGTATATGAACTCACTCGTGTTGAATTGTGAAATGTTACCACTAAAATATTTTGTATCCAATGAGTTAGCTCATAAGACCTAATACCAATAATGGTTTAGGACATGAAATTGAAAGCAACTTTAGAATGCTTCATGGTTTTATTGCATATAATTAAATACCAGGGTACACTGGATGGTAATAGGTATTGACCATTCAATACAAGACATCAAAATCCTTTCACAGTTCTATTACGGAAGCAGACAACGTAGCGGCAGCTGCATTTCCAATGTCACAATAGCGATTGAAGTTAACTGCATTTACGGATAGGAAAAATAATCACTTTAAACCTTTCCTCAATCACTTAGGTATGTATACATATTGGCCCACAGACCATACAATGAATACATTCTATCGCTGTCTTCAATCGCACGGAACTCGGAAAACGGCTTGGAGGAAATCTAGCCAGGCTATTAAATACAATGCTGGTAATTCCATTAAATGGCATGGAACATTCAGTACCTTTACTGTCAAGGATGTCATGAGAATGCTTATAATAACAATGACATAGTATTTGCTTTACTTTCCTTGGCTGAAAACAGTTAGGTTTGCCTGCCCGAAGGATCGTGTTCCATTCATCAATGTTGATAGCATCCGCTGTTATATTTAACATCTGACACAAACACAGGTTTTTTTTAAAGAGACAAATTATAAAACGTTTTATTTGGTGTGCCTTTTGTTGTATACGATTCTCCCAGGCTCACACTCACCTCGTCATCAGCCATGACCAATCCACCTACCGGATGAGGGCCTCCACACTCGCCCAATCGACGTCATGCCCCTCTGTCCCAACTATCCCACTTATTCGTATCTCTTGGGAATGCAACCAAACTTTAGAAATAACCATTTATACAGCCAGGTTTGAAGAACTGCGGCATGGAGAAACGTTTGCCTTTAAAATCAGGTGGTTATATAGCCTCTGAATACAACCACATGGCAAGATGCTTTATGGAAACAGTAAAAAAAAGGATCATGGTGGAAAAAAAAGTTCAGAGTATCTTGCACTGCTGATGGTGATGTAGTGTCCTAGGAGGAATGTCGCATCGCCGATGTGAATATGTAATTGCCGATGATGATTGTTCGGATATGCAGGAAAACCTATTTGGTGCTAGGCTACAGGACGCCAGAATTTCGACAGGAAACTGAAAAGGCTAGGGACATGACTATTGAAACATTATATTAAACCAAATAATCAGCTTCAAATGCCGTTTGTATGGTAATTCAGGAACATGTGGCATGCTGCAGTGTTCTGCAGTGAATACGAATGCATGAGTCAACAACTTGTTAAAAGCACAACAAATTTCAGCCATTCTCAATCCACCAATGGAAGAAGGGCTCCCTTCAAGCTATGTTGGTCATGTGGATTGTTTAACCATACTTCACCACGCTGGTCAATACAGGTTGGTGAAGGTGGGGAAATCTAGAAAAAATATGGAATTTGCTCCACTGCCCTCTACTACCCACAATGCATATACCCCCTTTGTTTGTGCATGGTGATCACCCATCCATTGCCCAGGCAAATCCTGCTTAGCTTGAGGTCTGATAAGATAGGATGGGGCATATTGCGGGTGATTTAATCATTGCCTGTCACGACCTAAATTCCTTTGTCTTCACGCGCTCACTCATTAAGATGGATATGTTCTGCGTGTTTAAACCTGTTCACTTAGACATTGGGCTTTGGAGCTCAGTGTGCACATGTTGGGGTAGCAGGTTCTGCTCTTCCAATTTGCACGTTTTATTTGGGCCAAGATGGCGATGAATGAAAAATAGCTCAACGCATTTGAAGCACATATGCAAAGGCAGTGTTATGTGGACACTATCAGCAGATCCCAAAACAAATCTGCATTTTTAAGTAGAAATAAACCGAGTAGAATTATCTAAATTTAGAACCGTAAAAGTACTGCGATATAAACTGTACATGTGTCCAAGTGTCTCGAGCATTCCGCATTATTCATAGCTCCCTAGAGCATCCAGGGTCAGCTTGAGTGACCTTTAAACACAATGCAGGATTGGTAGTGGCCGACAGTTTCATGACATTGGCAGGTTCTCAAAAGAACAACTAACGAAATGCTGCGAACATTTAACAGGAATAGCCAAGTGCACATGGGCATTGATGGAAAAAAAACGAAGACCTTAGGGGAGGTTATCGTGTGGCTGACTTTTCATCAACCATTATATCTGGTTGCCAAGTCGGCGTTTTAAAAACAGTTAGCAAAGCTACCAGGGAATTGCAGCAATGCTTAGATTTATGTTACAGCTGTTTTATTTACTTAGCACATGGCCAGCACCGAGCATAAATAAGAGTGTGTTGAAATAATTGTGGAACACTCTTACCATTAATATTGCATGCTCTATTTGTCAATAAGGCACACTTTAATTTAAAAAGGTCTCGCAACCAACCAAGTCCCCAAGAAGAAAAAACACGTTACATTGTTAATATGAATAACAAAAAGTCAACTCGTGTAAAGCACATCGTGTACAATTAGTTTCACATATTGGAGCACCGGGGCTATTTAATGAATCTGCAGGAGTTGTGGGCCCAAGTCAGCAAAAATCACTTTACACTTTAAGCAAACGGCGCCCTCTAGCGTGGGCACTTGGGGCAGGCGGAGCTATCTTAATGTTTCGATTTAAAGCTTTCGTGACTGCAGGGATTCATCTTCTTCGTTCTTTCGGTAAAGTCACGCAGAATTGAAATAATAAAATAATAATAATTAAACATAATAAAATAACGTCGTGAGAATTATTTTATTATGTTTCATTTTTATTATTCTATTATTTCCATTCTGCGTGACTTTACCGACAGAACCAAGAATATATCTTAATGTTGTTGTTTCTGCCTCGGAAGGCGCGTCATGATTCACCCCAGAAATGTTCCCGACTGTCGTAATTTGGCGCACCGATTCTGGTCAATAATCCGTTGGTTTTCCTTTCATTAAGGCAATCTCGTTTGTATTGTTTTAAACCCAATCGAGGTTTTTGTGGACCTTTACTCGGTAACCCAATAAAACCTGCAGGCACTCCCACATCGCGACAAGCTGCCCCCCCGCATGACGCAGCTGATGATGCCGATGGCGTCACCAAGTCCCGCTTATTACCTCCCGGCCAGCGGCACACACGAGATGAGAGGTTATTCGATTTGTCGACAAATAAAAACGATAGTTGGTAATCAATTACTTGTATAGTTAAATAGTCCAACTCTCATAGTCTTACAACGGCAAGTCATTGTATTCATTGCTGCAAGTGCCAAATGAGAAAACTCACTTCACTGGAAATGGAGTTTGTGTCAAAGAATAAAAAGTAAATCTTATGCAGTCCAACAAAGCTCTTGTCAACATTAATGGGTATAAGCAATGTCGTTCGCAGGCCCAAAAGCAAATGGTAACAGGGTTGAACTTGCGTCCAACTCAGATGAGAGTTGTGTAATATGGTGATGCGACGTTATATCGTATGGTGAGATCCAACAATAATGTTTTCATACGTTATGCAAAACAACATTACATCGTGATTATCATTGGTCAAATGTTGACATATATAAACACACACACTTATAGAGATGCCGTTGCTCTGCAACAAAAATAATAAGATAGCTGTCACGTTCACACTATTCTCGCAATCCTGCACTTGGATAACTAAAAGTAATCTGCTTTTACGTAAACTTCGATTTAAAGCTTTCGCGACTGCAGGGATTCATCTTGTTGGTTCTTTTGGTAAAGTCACGTAGAAGGGAAATAATAAAATAATAAAAATAAAACACAATAAAGTAAAAAAAAAAATTTCCCTTCTACGTGACTTTACCGAAAGAACCAAGAAGATGCTTTTTATGTCATAATATGCCAAGTTAATGTATTGTGATGTTTTTTTTTATATTCTCTCAGATCTGCAGAATATTATGGCAAAATAATCACATTAATTTGAGTACAAATTAAAACGCTTGAACATTTTTTAATCAACAGTGTTCATTTTCGAGCTCCTTCCGTCATAGCA